TCTCAGAAAAAAGGCAGCTAGGCTACCAGGGCAAAGGAGAGTTGGCCTCCTCTTCCTCTGAGGCTCTTCCTCCTGGTGGCCCGCCTCAGTTTTTTTCGTGACTTTCCTCGGCTTCTTTTTTGGCTGCGGTCCTGCTTCGGAATCATCTTTTCTGTGTTTATTCTGTCCTGGATTTTTTGGCGGTTCGTCTTTCGCCTCTGCTTCTTGAAGCGCTTCTGGTCGGAAGTGGCTGGACCCTTCCCTTTTCATTTCTGACAGCAAGAATTCGGCCGCATTTCGATCTTCTTGGCGTGCTGCTCAGACTGCGCAAGGCCGTAGTACGGCGCGCGCTTGAGATAAGGCCCACTGCCAAGTCCTGACAAGATCGAAAGCAGCAGCTGTCATTTATCATAAAATATCATACGGGGCGACAAACAACTGTCATTGAAGCTATTGATGAGACAAAGCGCAACCCCTTGCATGAATGCCCACGGAGCAAGTCTCGGAAAAACTCGATGGGCAAGACCGACGCCGAGAAGACGCTTTCAAGGTTCGACAAGGGCTCCGTGGTCTTTGCGTCTGCTGTCACTGCCACTGCTCGATCCGAGGTCAACACTTCTACCTTTTCAGACCTGGCAATCTTTAGAGCAGAATCTCGTTTTTGAAAGGAGACAAATGAGTTGACGTTAGAGCTGACCCGGGTAAGGAGAGTGTAAAATGATGAGTTCATGACAACGTGCCCCGGGTAAAGACAGTGCAAAAAGCACAGTCGGCTTACGCAAGGCCAGACTGGGCCAGCCTCGGGTAAGGATACCGTCTTTCGTTCTAAGGAGTGCCCCCGCTACGCGGGCACTACCCTTACACCAATCTACGCTATCCCTACCCGGACTGGGCCAGCCTCGGGTAAGGCTACTGCGACTTTCACTCTCCGCTTACCCAGGGTCAATCACCGGGGTGTGGATTTCTGACTGGGCCAGACTCGGGTAAGGTCAGCGACGTTTAACGGTTGCGACGTTAAAGTGGTTGACTGGGGCGCGTGGCCGCAAGCTCCCAGGTTCCGCTCTTATGATTTTGGCTGGAATGGGCTTCATTGGGACTGTATTTAGGAGGTCATCCGCTAGCTGAAAGCACGGCATCGCAGCCACCAACCTCTTCCTTCTCCAAGGGTCGTGAGTCCATCCGCGTCCACGCATCGGCGCACGGCTGTTTGGAGGATGTTGACGGACATTCCGTCGCCAACGGCTTCTTCAAAAGCTCGACGCGGTACTGTTACCTTCATCAGCTTGTCTGCCACAGCAGACGGCAAGCCTTGCAGGCGAGCCATTAACCTAGTGCGAACAGTGCCTACTGCGAAGAGCCATGTGCCCGCAAACACTCAGATAGACGAGGCGCCCGCAAGCGCAGTGCCCGTAGGCAAGTGCCCACTGCAGGCACGAAGTGCTCGAAAGCACGAAGGCACGGCGTGCCCGCAGACACGCGCGCGCGATGCACCAAGTCCAAGCCTCAGGCTTTCCACAAGCCTGGAGCTGCTCAGGCTTTCGCGCCAGGCGCTGCTTCTGAATCTGGCATCTGGTCAGCTGACGTCACTGAGCCACCCAGCAACAAGCAGCTTTCACTTGGCCTTGTGGGCCGCGCAGGTGTGCAACAGCCCACATGTTGGAAGATTCCCAGGCTGGTCCTGGTGCGGAACATCTTCCAATGCTTGGCCACCTGTGGAAGCCAGGTTCTGAGGACCCTCTTCAGTGGGCAGCTGTGAAAGGGCAGCCAACACTTCTTGGCGCAGTGCACCTCTCAGGTCAAAGCAGCGATCCATGATTTTTCGAAGCGTTCCCTCGCAGCCTTTCAGCTCCTCCTCGGAGATGCGCAGCTGGTCCCGCAGCCCTGCTGTTTCCTCCATCTTACCTGTCGCATCATCGAACAGCACAGTGGCCTCTGTGGCCGGCGAGGAAAGAACTGTGACGCTTTGTAAGAGAGCCAGCTTCTTATCCATGCTGCTACACACAAAAAAAGGCAGCTAGAATTCAGCACTGCGCCGGACTTGTGCCAAAACACTGCAGCCAAACCTCTCTTTCTTGTAAAGTCTTTCCAGGCTAGGGCTTGGGGCGCGGAACCTGTTTATACACATTATATTTACCAGGCTACCGCCTGCAGCCGCCGACCCCCAAGGGATAGAACCTTAGCGCTAGCCTTGCTCTATGTTAGCCTTAGCCTTAAGCCTTAGCCTTAGCCTTAAGAGTGCAGACCCAACCCAGCACCACCAAAGCAGGTACCCAAAAAGTCGACTTTTTGGGTACCTCCCAGATTTACCATCGGACGTCAGCTCTTGCATGATCCCCGATCATTGCCCAAGAATTTAGACCCAACCCTGCACCACCAAAGCAGGTACCCAAAAAGTCGACTTTTTGGGTACCTCCCAGGTTTACCAATTTAGACCCAACCCAGCACCACCAAAGCAGGTACCCAAAAAGACAAAGCCTAGAGCATTCCTAGGAAAATGCCAGAAAAGCCTTTGAAAATCCCATAAACCAACAGAAAACGTGACAAAATCTACGAAAAAGCAAGGGCATTGGCCGGGACCATGCCGCGACCAGCCCGGGATTCGAACCCAGGACCATTTTGGACCGTGCTTATTTTCCCGCGCGGGTCGAGAG